GGATCGGAGGCACTGTAGCACTCACTGTAGTCTCACTGTATGTCGCAATCGATTTCCTGGAATTCAGCCAAAACTGAGTCTCAGAGCGAACGGCGGGAAAGTGAGTCACTGAACCACTCAAGGACTGGCATAGATGCCAACACCACTTCACACTCCCGACCCCGTAACATACCCGACCCGAACGAAGGCCTACCATATGCACCATACTATACGCACACCACTCCATACAAACACAATGATATCACTGGAAATATGAGCACAAATATGACAAAAGTGAGCAAAACTAATGAAATGACAATTGAATGCAAAACTTAATTCATTAGCAAAACTATTTTGCACTCAAATGCGAATCCATTATAATGACTGCTATTTTGTGATTACGATGCGTTAGTGCATTGGGTTTACAGTGTTTCATAGGAATTACTGTGACATTAACCACCATTTGACTCTTATGTAACATAACTTATATTTGATTAGTTTGATTGTGGCATTGATTGGAGTTGTTCGGGCACCGGTAGGGAACGGTAGTGCATATGCGGGGGCAGTGGTTGAAGTGTAAGTGAGGGCTCTACTCATGGACTGGATCTCATAGACAGTATAATATAGTCTAAGCTTATGCTGTTGTTCGCGCCAAATGGTTGTGTTGGGGCGCATGCGTAGAGGACAGGCGTGTGTGGATGTGTTGGTTGTAGTGGTGTAGTACTCCATCTCACATAAGCCGGCATTTGGCACAGCGCAGGGTGTTCTCCGCATTTCTCTCCATTTGCATACCTTTAACACACAGTTGTGTGTCGAGTATAGTACTTGGGATCAGTTTCGGTGACCATAAGTGACTGAGTGGTGACCAAATCACCGCACAATTGGCTATACTATCACACAATTAATGGTAAGTTTTGAATCACTTTTTTGGTGTCTCTTTAACACAAAGAGGCAAACATTTCGCAATCAACTCATGCCTTATGTGTAGAGTTAAACCTATAAAGCAGTACATAATGCATAGCATTCCTGTTGCCATTTCACGCCATTTGGCGCTTGTATTGAATGCAGTGAACGCTATAAGCATTTCTGCGTCAACCCATTGCATGCATTAGACCTTTAAAGCGCTTTTGTCTCGCAATTGGTTTCTATTGAATTGATATTTCAAATGCCGTTCAGTATTAATATGAATATGAATATGGGATTAGCTTTATGTACGGGATGTCTGTTTGGGACAGTGGTTGGCAATGCCGTGAGAGTTATGTCATGTTTATATAAGTGATGGCAATGTGTGGACAGGAATGCAGAGATGTCTGATGTCTGGGCTTTAAATGTAAAACTTGTTGACTGTCTCTCACTGTATGTCTCACTGTATGTCGAGATGTCTGGACTCATATATGCATTGATTGCTTGCGTTTCTTATGGATTGACTGCAAATGTATGGCATTTGTGGTGATAATTGTAATGATTTTTAATGGCAAACAAAGAAATGATATAAAAAGTTCACATTTGTTGAAACGTTTGCATAGTATGGGCGCCAAAAGTGGCGGAATATAGTGATAGGCCTGAAGGGGACGGGTGTTCGCTCGCACCTGTACTTTGATTGCAGTCCCGTTGACTGTCGATAGTATTGTATTGTTTTGATGGTCTGCACCAATAATTGTATGTTCATTAATTGGTGGCATCTGTTATAAAATGGGCACAAATGGGAGTTTACGCCACTTTGCGCACCGGTAGGCGACAGGAACTGCTTGTGCGGCTCAGACACCACTCTACCACACGTTTAGTGCGTATTTGTGCCGGTGTTGAAGCACATGGACACCACTGCGCATGTCTTTCCCCCCTTCACTGTATAAGCCATGCAGTGCTTCGCAGCCATGCATTGCATTCATAGCTCAGTCACCGACTGACGTAACACTTAAAAGGCATCCTTTCTATCACTGCTTATGATCTCTGAGTTGATCCCCGTTTGGCGCTCTCTTTGAATACTGTGTGACATCTCTGATGATAATTGCAGACAAAATGCCCGTAAGAGTGGATTCGAGCTTAAAAGGCATCCTTTCTATCACTGCTTATGATCTCTGAGTTGATCCCCGTTTGGCGCTCTCTTTGAATACTGTGTGACATCTCTGATGATAATTGCAGACAAAATGCCCGTAAGAGTGGATTCGAGCACTTTTGGTGGACTAACGCATCCCTGCTTTGACTGCGATGTCTTAAACGAGTTGAAAGACATTTCTGATGACTTGACTGCAGACATGACTGACATATGTCAGTCTCCATGCGAAGACATCTGGAAGAAGTTCGACGACTGTCTGCTGACACCCCCGCAGTCGCCGCCCATACGACTGGATTTGGTGTCCGATATGCTGGACTTCAACTCATTGGACAGTCTGGCGATGACTGATGGCTCGTATCTGCATAACGCGGATGTGTTGCACGACTGCATGTGGTCGGGACAGTGCGTCGAAGACAACACCACTGCCTGTATGAACCACTCGTCGTGTGGATCCAGTGCTGTCCGCATCTGTGGCCGCACTCACAGCCGACCCGACACTCCCTTCACAGCTCTGTCGACGTCCCCCTTCGCGATGAACCACACATTCAACGATCTGTTGTCGACGATGAGTGACACGTCTTCTAACGATGATATGGACGACAGCCAGTCGTCAATGGATGAAGACTTCAACAGTTGCACCGATTCTTCGTCTTCTCAGTCCAGTTCCAGTAGTACTTCATTTGCAAAAGTGATATGAGTGACACGTCTTCTAACGATGATATGGACGACAGCCAGTCGTCAATGGATGAAGACTTCAACAGTTGCACCGATTCTTCGTCTTCTCAGTCCAGTTCCAGTAGTACTTCATTTGCAAAAGTGAAGCAAAGCCTCATCAATGATCACTCATACGGAGGTTCACTCGTCATTAGTCATCAAAATAGCAAATCAAAGCCCAGTAGTTATGAAACGCAAAGTAAGTGATTGTACGACACTATTGTTGACAATGAAAGGTATTCATGAATTGATGTCTCATTGCAGGCCTAATACATCCCAAACATAAGGAAGTCGGCTCTAGACCTTTATTCTAATTTACGGTATTTTATTTACCATTTTTTTATTTCTAATAATTTCGCTTAAGCTGGTAATCAACGTGAAGACATCACTCAGGATTTCTTAGCTCACTGTCTTGGCTAGCCGTTCCCACCGTTAGGATCATTAGAAATGATAAGCATTTTCTCAAGTCTGCGAAGAGTTGTTTGGAAGCCAAGAGTAGTTGTAATAACTCTTCTCAACAAAAGAACTGCAAGTTTTCCACCCGAAGGAAGGCGTCGACCGTCTCTTCTGAACGCAAAGTAATGTTCGCTCAAAACCATCCGTTCCTCAAAAGCAAGACTTCATCCGAGAGGTTGAGTCAGTCGGACGACGATGAAGAAGACTTGGACTCCAATATGGGCGACAAGTCGTCGAAAGTACCGCCACTTCGGAGGCGCGAACACAACGACTCTGAACGCAAACGAAGAGACCATTTGAGGAACGCATTCGTGAATCTGAAGGACCAGATCCCCAAACTCAAGACCGCAGACAAGAGACCGCCGAGGATTATGATCCTTCACGAGGCGACGGCTTATGTGCACACTTTGAACGACAAACAGAAATATCTGGAGCGCACTCTCAATGCTGAGATCGAGAAGAGGGAGAAACTGCTGAAAATGTTGTCCAACGAAATGAAGACGGAATCCAAATAAGAATATTATTATTATTATAACTATTAAACAATTTATAGGAATTATTATTATATATGAGTTCATCTTTTTTACCCCAATTTATT